CAGCCTCCCAAAGGCGCGGGATTACAGGCTGAGCCACCGAGCCCGGCTAATTTTTTTAAAAATGTTTTTGTAGAATCTTGTTATGTTGCCCAGAATGATCTCAGACTCCTGGCCTCAAGCCATTCTCCCACCTCAGCCTCCCAAAGTGCTGGGATTACAGATGTGAGCCACCTCGCCCAGCCTCAGATGATCTTTTCCATCTACCCACTGCTTGGCCCCTGTGATGAGTGGGTGGGTTGAGAGAGGCTCCTGACACACAAGGCACTGACAGGCTAATTTCCTGCCTCAGTGGTAAAGGTCAACATGCTAACCACCCTCCTCCATGAAACAGTGACAAATACAACACAAAGAATGCCACAGCCAAGCTCCTGGACCCCAGTCCCCACAAAGTTCCTCTCCTCGGCCTCTCTCTCCAAGCTGAACTTCATCTCTTGTGACCCTCTTAGTGAGTCAAAACCTCCTCTCCCAGGCCTTAGCCTAAGCTATTTCTTCTGCTAGAAATCCCTTCCTTTCTCTACCTAACAAAGTTATCTGCAGCTCAGCCACCACCTCCTCCAGGAAGTACCCCCAGATCCTTAATCTGCACTCTAGTATCTCCCCAGCCCTGGCTCCCGCTGGCATTTACCCCACCAAGGTCTTTCTCTCCTGGACTGTACAGTTAGGTTTTGACCTAACTGTACAGTGGCCCACCACTGACCCTCCTCCCCCAGGAACTCCCTGGGGGCAGGAAAGGAGAACCCCAGGACTCTGGGCCCCAGCTCAGGGTTCCCCGCCCAGGCCCTGAAGGCACCCACTCACCAGCCGCCTGGATATCCTTTACAATCTGCGCTGTGAGGCTCCCATTGTAGAAGGCCTGGGCGCCCTCGAGGGCCAGCTTCTCGTAGGTGTCAGCCAGTCGTGGCAGGGTCAGCCACTCCCCCTCCCGAAGCACCTTTCCATTCCGGCAGAATACCTCACTGGGGCAGCGGGGAGGGGCGGGGAGCTCACGTGAGGCAGCAGGTAGGCAGACAACCAGACCACTCCCCACACCCACCCACACGGGGGAAGGAGAACAAAGTACAATCAGTGCGTGTCCACAGCAGGATGGCCCTGTCACTCTGGCCAATTCAGCCCGTGCTTCCTAGTGTTTCCTGCCACTTGGAACACATGGCAGCTCATAGTGTTCACTGGGGCCCCAGCTCAGGATGTGTCACCATCCCCGGTGCCCTCCATCAGCGCAGGCTCCCGAAGGCAGAGGGCAGCTCCACCAGTCACTCAGGGCCCACAGACTGCCCTGCCCTGGTGGCTGTGCTACAGACATACCACAGGACAGGCTGCTGCTCAATGACCGCCCGCTTGTTTTCCAAGGCTGCCGCCAAGCCCTTGCCCACAGGGAAGCCCTGGCGGGCCAGCTGGATGCTGGGCTGGAAGAGGCGACCCCAGGGCAGTCTCCCATGGCGCTGGTGTGCTAGCTCATAGCCGCGGATCTCCCCGGGCACTGCCACCGAAAGCCCACCTGGGGAGAGAGCACCAGGGTGAGTAGCCCTGAGCAGGGGACAATATTCCCTGACCTGCTTTACAGACAAGGCCAGAGAGGCTTAGAAGAACAGGGATTTTTTCTTTTAAATGAAGTCTCGCTATGTTGCCCAAGCTGGTCTCAAACTCCTGGACTCAAGCCATCCTCCTGCCCCAGACTCCCAAATAGGTGGGATTATAGGCATGAGCCACCACGCTTGGCATAAAGGGATTTTTAAGATCATATCTGAGCTTGGCAGGCAGCAGCACAAATGGCCCAGGGAGGTGAGGAGGGTACAGCAGGGGTAGATGGCAGCTTGTGTGCTGGGTTTTGCTGTCCCAGGATTAGATTTCTGTCTCCACAGGTGCCTCCATGTCTGCAATCTCGTACCAGGCCTATGGATGCACAGTGAGACTGGGGAGAGCCACACTCACTCCCATCTCTCAGTCTGCAGCACCCCCAGCCACAAGGCCTCCTGTCCTGCAAGACTCATGGGCTCCACGAGAACCTGCCAGAGCAAGACCAGCTCCTGCCCTGCCCCAGCTTATACCCAGGCCACCCTCAAAGCTCAGCTGGTCCCAAAAAAGCCCCCTACCTTCCTCTTTTCCACTGTCCTGGAAGCCAGATCTGAGTCTGGCTCAGACTCCCTGCCCTTCTCTCGACCTCGGTTTCCCCATCTGACCATAACAAATTTTGCTTTCCAGTTCTGACTCCAACAAGGCTACTGGAAAAAGATCCTTGGGCCTGCTTCCCCACCACACCCTACTGCCCACATGAGCACTTCGGCCTAAGCCAGACACTGACCCTTTGCCCAGAAAGATACAGTCACGTCCTCTGCCCCCAGGCACTCTTCTGCTGTGATCCCTGAGATGACCCGGCCATTTAGTTACTCCCAGGCTTGGCAGCTGTGGCTTCAGAACTGCCTCTCCCACTCCAGAGTCAGGCATGAGATTCCAAGAGCTACACATCTCGAAATGTCTGACACCAGCACATGCCTCCCACCTTACAACTAGATGGGAAAAATAGGCTCTCATGTTTGATAGCAGGTTAGGGTGACTACAATTAGCAAAAATGTTTTGTATATTTCAAAGTAACTAGAAGAGAGGACTTGAAATGTTTCCACCACATGGAAGTGATAAACTGTCAAGGATACCCTGACTCGATCATTACACGATCTATGCATGCACCCATAAATACAGAAAATATTATGCATCAATAAAAGAAGAAGAAATCCTCTCTTGACCTCAGGCCCCTCAAACTCTAACGCTCCCTGACCCGCCCAGCTCACCGGCGACTCCCACGCTGCCAGACCCAGCGCCTCCTCTCAGCCTGGTTCTCCAAAGCCATCTGCCTGCTCCCACTGGCTCCCTTGAGTCTCCTCTGCCTGCCACCCTGGTTCCTGCCCCTCTCTCTCCTCTGTCTTTGCTCACTCTCCTGGTGATCCCAGATCAGAGCTTCCGCCTCCATTTATGCACTGACAACTCCCAAGTTTGCCCTCTGGCCAGGACTACTTCCCAATTGCCAGACCCAAGTGCCTACCTTCCCACTCAAAAAAGCCATCTCAAATTTAACTTCGCCAGGTGCAGTGGCTCACACATGTAATCCCAGCACTTTGGGAGGCAGAGGCAAGAGGATTGCCTGAGCCCAGGGGTTCGAGACCAGGCTAGGCAACTTGGCGAGACCTCATCTCTACAATAAATCAAAAAATTAGCTGGGCATGGTAGTGTGTGCCTGTGGTTCCAGCTACTTGGAAGGCTGAGACAGAAGGATCGCCTGAGCCCAGCAGGTGGAGGCTACGGTGACCCTAAGTGTGCCACTGGACTCCAGCTTGGGTAACAGACTGAAAAAAAAAACGCAAAAAACTCAACATGTCCAAAACCTTGGGTGTCTGCCCAGACCTGCTTCCTGACAGCCCTGCCTGTCTCTGTCAGGTACAGACAAAAGACCCTGGAGTCCTCCGGGACTCCCCACTCAACCCAGCTGCAAATCCGCAGGCCCTACTTCCAAGTGGGTCCTGAACCTGCCACTTCCCACCACCTCTCTGTACCTGGATTATTTCAGTGACCTCCTGACAGGTCGGTCCCCTTGCTCCCTGCACATCACACAGCAATCCAAGGGGTCCTGTTGACCACAGGCCAGACCTGTCCCCTTCCACTCAGCCACTAGGGCCCCCACTCCCTCAGATAAGAGGCAGGGGCTTCACAATGACCTATGAGCCCGGTCTGTTCCCTCTGACCACATCCTCCTCCTCCGGGTCACTTACCGCAGCATCCCTGTGTCCCTGGATCACTCACTCTTCCCCCAAACACCAGGACGGACCCCCACCCTCTGCCTCTGGGTCTCTGCTCAGATGTCCCCTTCCTTGACCAGGCCACCTTCCATAGAGTTCCACCCTCTTGGGTCCCACAGCACAGAGCACACCCATGTTGGCCTTCTCTCTCCTCTCCACCTGGAATGTCACAGATTCTACCTGCTTCTGTGTTTTGCACCCTGGTTTTGGGAACAGTACCTGACACTAAGTCCTGATTAAATAAATGATTCCAAGCATCCCCAGACACCTCTAAGACCCCAGCATTCTCATACTCTAAGCGATTCCATGTCTACACATTGAGTTCCTCAATGAGTAATGAGAAAAACAAGATTCTGTATGTTAGAGAGGACCCCAGAGGGGCCACTCAGAGGGCATCATCCGGGACCTCCTCCCCCATGGTATGGTGAGGGTGCCTTGTCCCCTCTTCACCATCTATTCCTCCAACTTTTATCCCACAATACATTCCACCTGCTTTGAGCAGCACCCTTGGGTGGACACCGGTTTCCCCTCAGCTACCTGGGGAATTTAGGGCCTCCTCTCTACTCGAGGCCAGGTTCAAAAAAGAGAACGCACCCCATACTCTAGGGAGCTAGCCCCACGAATGAATGGATGAATGGGAAAACACAGGGTTTAGACAGCTTGGGTTCCGTTTTAGCTTTATCGTCTCCCGGCTGTGCAGCCTCAGCTGGTTTGCCCGGCCTCTCTGAGCCTCAGCATCCCCACCACCCTCCCTCACCCCCAAGAGTACAGGGAGGAATGGAGCAGGGGGAAGAGCGGCCTAGGGTGCGGGTGGAGCCCTGGGTGGTGAGAGCGGTCATCGGAATGATCCTCGCCGCGTGCTGCCGCAGGGTGGCGCTAAAGGGCCTGAGCAGAAACAACGGAAGCTGCGTCCCTTCACCCTGGTGAGGATGGTGGTGACCATTCGTCACCGGAGGGTGTCGTGGAGCAAAGAGAAGTGGGGGTCCCGGAGCTGCCCCCGGGCCCGGACAGGGCCATGCTCAGGGGCTCTTCCGCTGTGCACCCCAGCCCGGCCGCTTACCCTCCTGAGACTGCTCCGAGCTGTTGAACATGCTGGCAGAGGCCAGCCCGGGGGCCACCTCGCGGGCGTTGATGACCTCGGCTTTTCCTAGGAGAAGAGGCATGCGGGCAGGTGGACCCCCCGCCCGCCCCCCGCGTGAGCCCAGGGCGCCCCCAGCTGTGCCCCCAGCCCACTCTCCTCCCGGGACTCACGTGTGGCACTGTTGTAGATGGTGAGGAACAGACCGCCCCCGATGCCCATGCTGTGGGCATTCATGAGTCCCACGCACAGCAGGGCCGCGATGGCCGCGTCCACCGCCGAGCCGCCGTCCCGCAGGGCGTCCCTGCCAGGCACGTGGGGGTGAGAACCTGCCCCGGCACACCCTGCCGCCTGCCCTCCCGCCTGCCCGGAGGAGGATGGAGGAGGAGTTCCTGCGGGTTCATTTTGTTTGGAGACAGGGCCTCCCCCTGTGACCGGAGCTGGAGCGCAACCCACCGCGCCGTCATAGCTCCCTGCAGCCTCAGGCAACTAGGTTCAAGCGATCCTCCTATCTCAGCCTCCTGAGTACCACACCCAGGAAGTTTTTGTTTTTTAAAGACTTCTCAGTTTCCTCTTTTTCAAGCAAGCCAACGCACATGGCTTCTATAGCTTAAGAAAAAGGAAAATTGCCATATTTTAGTAGTCACATTTTTTCTGCTTCTGTCTGTAGGTGGGAACTGATCTTTGTATATAATGTGGGATAGGAGTCCAAAATAGAATAAAACAATGGAGTTTATCAAACAGACTCTTGGAACTGAGAAAAGAAACGTGTTGGGGTCACTATCCCCTTCTCTTGGGGTCACTCTCCCCGTCTCACCTCGCCAGAGGCTACTGAGAGGGACCAAGCAAAGAACAGACAGTTCCATGAACATTGGACACCCCTTGTCCAGGCAGCCTGTTTACAGGCGGGGAAACAGCCTCAAGTGTTGCCCAGGTCCACTCTCATGGCTGTCCTCCAGGACTCATTCCCCATGCCGCCCCAGGCCTGTCCTGCTCACCTCCCAATCTCGGAGCAGTGCTTGGCATCCGCAGCCACAGCTGCCCTGGGGTACACATGGTGGTCAGGCTTCTCCCTGGAGGCTGAGGGCAGCCACAGGCAGAGGCCCACGACCACCAGCACCAGCACCACGGCCAGCAGGCCCAGCACCACAAACCGCTTCTTCATGGCTCTGCCGTGGGGGGAGCAGGGTCAGGCTCAGCCTCAGGCACTCCCCAGCCCCTCCCCCACAGGGCACAGTCTAAAGTCAGGCCTCAGAAACGCAGCCCGGTGTCTCCTTCCAGCTTCCCAGAACACGTACAGGCTGTCCAGCCCCCAGACCTTTGCCCAGGTCATTCCCTCTGCCAGGAGTTCCAGGCCTCACCTCTGCCCTCCTAAATCCTCCCTGCTTATCATTATGGCTCATCCTGCGAAGGACCCCATCTCCAGCAGGAGCCCCTCCTGGAAGTCCCCAAATGTCACATACCCCGCCTTCCGCAGGGCCCTGTCTACCTCCTCACAGTGGACCTCCACCACTTAGCAGGTGGTACCGGACTGGCCTGATTCTTCCAGTGTCCTCCACCTCAGCTCAGAGCCTGGCACTGTATGGGGTCCCCCAAGTACCCACACACACACCAGACTGTGGGGTTTAGCTTCTATGGTGCCCTTAAAGGGAGCACCCCAGAGTCTTCTCCTGAAATCAGCGGATCAGCTGCCAATGGGTCGGGACTTACCGTCCAGCAGCAGATGGGAGCCCCAAGCTTTGCCTGGGGAGGTGGCCACAAAAAACAGGAGGCTTTGGCTGAAATGGCTGGTGAAATAACTGGGGCCTCCCTCACGCTCTGCAGTAGTCTGTGGCCCCAGAATCTTCTCCAGAGACTCTTTAACCAGGCAGCCTCCTGGTTCTCCTGAAAGTGAAGAGGGTGTACTTGAAGCACTCCCAGCCCAGCCCTTTCTGGGGGGGAGCTCAGTGTGACCCTCCCTGCCAGCTGCTTTCTCTGCATCCAGGTGAACTCTGGAGCCAAAAGGCTGTCAAGCTGCGCACGCGTGTCTGTGAATTCTCTCTGACTGCACCTGAGAGACAAGGCTTTGCGTGAGTAGGGCGGGGAGGGGGTGGGCATTCCCCCACAAGGCAAGGATTCGGTAGTGAGCATGTCACGTGGCAAAGGGGCCCAGCAGATGGATGAGTCAGGACTCGCCACTCACCTGCTGTGGAGCCTTGGGTAAGTCACGTAACTGTCCAGCTGAGATGACAGTGGCACCTTGCTTGCCTCACCTGCAGGGGCGTCGTGAATTAGGTGGTTGAACTGTGCTCGGGCTCAGGAAATGCTGGCTCTAATGATTACCACGGCTGCTCTGGGGAAGAACCGCCCTCTTCTAGACTCAGTTCCCTCCAAAGGGTCGTGTCCAGCAGCAAGCCCCTCCAGCAAACTCCTGCCTGGGTTTCCTCTGGCTCAGCCTGTCCCTGTTCAGGGAGTCTGAACTCAGAGTCAGACTCATCATCCCAAAGACTCTAGGAATGGAGCCCCTGTGCCCGCTCCACACGCACAGGGGCATTCCAGATGCTAGTGTGACTTGGTGTTCCTGGGGATGATGATGTGACAGCATGTGGTCCCTCATGGTGCATGAGAAAGTACAGAGAGACTCCCGGCCCTCGATACCGAGTCCCAGGGCAGGGGTCCTGGTGGAGGTCACGCAGCAGCCTGCCACCCCTCCCCAGAAGAAGCCAAAGAAGCCCCTCCTCTCCACTGGGACCACCACAGCCTAAAGCCAGCTGCCCTGTTCCTGACCCCTCCCTGGCTCCCGTCTTGCCAGCACCACCTGCCCTCAGTCCTCCGGAAAGTAGTCAGAGGGCTCTGTCCAAAGTGCCAGCCTGGGCCTGCCCTCGCTGCCCTATAAAACAGTCCATGCCCCTCCCTAGGCCTGATGACCCTCTGGGGACTCAGACACCCCCGGCCCTGATGGAAGCCCAGGTCATGGTTAAGGGGTCCTGATGGAGACAGACATGCTGGGAAGTCCAAGGGCCCTCAGGGCCAGGATCAGCTGTGAGCTGCGTCCATTCTCATCAGGTGTGGTAGGGGAGGTTATCCCCCACCCTGGTCAGTCCCCCACCACAGCACAACACAGCCCCTCCACCAAGGAAGCTCCCTAGTTCCATCCACTGGACCAGGTCATGCTGGGCACCTTAAGGGCACGGCCTCATTTCTCCTGGGCTTGGGGCCTGGAGCCAAGCTGCCAGCCATGGCTCCACCAGGTCCACACTCCAGGCTCCGCGGTTCACCCATCTGTCTACCCAAAGGCCCAAATAGATCCCCAAGGGGCAGGGGCTACTCAGTAAGGCTCAGGCTGCCAGGGAGCATGGGGAGGGGAGTGGGCAGCATTGGCCCCATCTCCCCTCCTCCCGGAGCAGGGCAGGAGAGAGGGCTGGCCCAGCCTCCGGCAGGCAGATGTCCCCAGCCTGGCGGAAGACACCCTGCTGGGGGCCCGGGCTTCCATTTCCCGCCCCCCCCCCACCCCCAAGTTCTCTCAAGATCCACTCAAAGAATGTCCAAGCCCAGAGGCCTGACTCTCACCCAAATCAGTGCCAGGAGGGGAAACTGAGGACAGAGAGTGGGTCGGGTACAGTGTTTAGCCTCAAATCCAGAACCCCCTCCTGTGACTCTGGTGGGCTTACCTGAGGCCTGGGGGCAGTGGGGGCCCAGGAGAGCACTTCTCCCTCCTAAGACAGGTCTGGGCTGCACCCGCCAGGGAGGAAGACGCAGACTTGTCCGCCTGGGAAAGTCCCGGCACAGAACTGGCTGCCCCCCCCCGCCTCGCAGGAGTGGCCCAGACCACGCCTGCAGCCCCTGCAGAATTCCTCAGGGAGTCTCCAAATTGGGACTGGGATCTAGGGGTGGGCACCTCCTAGAAGGAGCAGAGGCAGGAAAGGGGCAGGAGGGACCAGAGGACCCATGAGCTTACCTAGTCCCAGAGGGGGCAAGAGGCCAGCTGGGAGGCGCCCAGCATCCCTGGGGGGCAGTTGAAGGCGTCTGCGTAGGGTGGAGGACAGGTGGTCCTCTCACAGAGGTCCAGCCTGGCTGGGAGGACGAGGAGGTTGACGTGACAGCAGCAAGGAGGCGTGGTGACACGGCCTGTCACCAGGTGACTAAAGTTCACGCAGCCCTAGGAGGGCCCTGGGCGGGAGGTGGGAGGTGCTGTAAGCCTAGGAAGGGGCTCCCCCCTCCCAGTCTCAGTTCCCTCCAGAGGGTAACCGAAGGGCTCCCTCCAAAGGGTAAGCCCCTCCAGTGAGCCTCAGTCGGGGCTCCCCTCTGGCTCACCCTGCCCCACCCAGTTCAGAGCATCTGAACTCAGAGCCAGACAGCATCCCAGAGATAATTCCTGAGGCAGGGAGTAGAATGCCCCCTGGCACCAGACCAGAACTAGGGTGTAAGAGGCCTCACCACACCCTGCCACCAGGCGCCAAGGGTGTGTCCCTGGAACATGACCTGGGGTCCCCAGCTTGCAGACCAGCCCCACTGCCCATCTATGAGCATCAGCATCCCAGGCCAAAGAACCACCTGAACAGCCTAGAAAGGCAAGGACCAGAGAGGCCCAGAGCTGGCCCAAGGTCATACAGCCTAGCAGGGCAAGCTTGGCTGCCTGGTACTGGCCCCAAGTTGCTGCATGTCCCTGACCAGGCCACCAAGGAAGTCCAAGCCAGAAGCAGCTGTGGGCCCAGCCCAGGGGAGCTTGGACACTGCTTCCCATTCCCTGGTGGCCTTCATCTGCCAAGGATAAGGGTCAGAGGCTCCCTGAGCCATGGCTCCCTCCCCTGCTCGCTGGTCAGCAGTGCCTGGGCTGCCCAAGATCCCCTGCAGCCTCCATCTGAGGTCCATTCTGTGCCTGAAACACTTAATCCACAGTCATTCTTCAAGACTGCCCCATCAGACAGAAAGAAGTGTGGAGGCCGACCGGGTATTATTGCCTGCCTGAGTCACCCACTGCCCTCAAGCAGGCACTGGACAGAACCCACCACACATTCCACGACTCCAGGATTGGGGTGCTATGACTGAGCCCTTTCCTTGGGTGTTCCTCCCTGCAGGTCAGGATGGACAGGGCAGGAAATGAACGTGGACAGGGCAGGAAAGTCCCATGATCTGTCCCTGAAGGCTGAACACCAAATAGGAACATTAGGGGATTTGGTCCTGCCTGAGTGGCTGCATTCCAGAGCAGTCAGCTGGGAGGGGTCTGCAGTGGAGAGCCCCAGGGCTCTGTCCCCAGCTCTAACCTGCTTAGCAGTTTCCTACCTGCCTGGGCTGGTACAAGACGTGTAGGATGAGCAGTGGCTAGTGGGCAGGAAGAATGTCTGAGTGGACAGAGGATGGCCCAGACCCCAACAGGTGACCCCAACAGGAAAACCCTGGGTTGGGGAAAGTAGGAAGACACCTGCCTACAATAGGGCACAGATGAAACCTGGTAACACCTGCAGGTTCTAGGGAAGGAAAATGTGAGGGAGGCACCTTATCAAAGGCCATATCAACAGAGGTATGACCTACAGAAAGAAGGAGGCTATTCTGCCTTGGTCAACCCTTTTCCACATGCAGAGAGGAGCTAATCTCTAGATAGCAGGAGCTGGGCTAGAGGTCTCCAGACTCCACAGTTCTTGTCCAGGTTCTATAGCTCTCCGTCCCAAGAAATGTGCAAGCCTCACTCACCCAGAGACACTGACTCTGCTGTCAGCACGATTCCCTCTACACACACACACACACACACACACACACACACACACACACACACTGAATCTAGGCTGGACAGAGCAGCGTCCCAGGACGCAGCAGAGAGGGGAGCATGAGGACAGGGCAGACAGAGCAGCCAGCCTGGAGTTCCCCTGTTAATCCTCCAACCCAGCTTGACACTTGTGTCACCGCAACCCCAGAGTCACAAGGGTGAAATTGGGACACAGCCCCAACCCCGATCACAGACAGGAAACTGAGGCTTAAGTAAAAGCCAGTTGCCCAAGGTCAGCCGGTCCCAAGAGGCACATGGGCCTGCAGGTGGGCCCAGGACCACCGCCCTTGGGTGTGGGCAAGTGCAGAATTCTGTGGCTTCCCCAGGCTGCCTGTACCCTGGGCGGGACGCTTCCCACCACCCAGAACCGGGGTAGAATCTGTTTCCTTCACTGCCCACCCTGGAGGCATGAGGCTGAGAATTAGAGAAAATGCCCCTTTGCTAAGACTTGATAACCACTCCCTGCCGGAAACCTGCAGAAACAGCTACGTGTGTGGGGGTGACCGCAAGGTGGTGGTTGCCCCCTGGAGTTGGGCAATGTCCCCTTGCACAAATGACCTGCCCTACCCCCACCCACAGCCACAACCTGAGCCCAGAGAAGGGTCAGCATGGCCCAAGGACACAGTTCCCACAGGCCTCATCTCAGCCCCGGCTGTGTGCTAGAGCTGGCCACCCCCACCCCCATCCTGGCCTCAGTTTCTCCCCGCTGCACACCTCCCCACAAGTCCGCTTCCTGGGAACCACGGCTTCCTCCAGGGCTTCTTCAGAGAAGTCAGGGGGCTCCACCTGGCCCTCCTCTACCCACCCCCACACCTATGGGAGCCAGCCAGAAAGCCAGTCTCAAATCCACTTAATCAGACGAGGAACAGAGCGCCCCCACCCCTCAGACCCAGTCAAAGAACCTGGGGCTCTGCCCACCTGTGTGAGCCCTCTGCAGGATTCGTCCACAGGAGCCTTACCCCCTCACTCCCACTGCAGAGGGTGGAGAAGAAGAAGAGAGACTCCTCTAGGCCACAGTCAGCATATGCAGGGCT